GGCCCACCTCTCTGAATTTGGACAGGACAGTCCTGAGACAGGCAAAGAGGGCAGGTTTATCGGTAGTGGACACCAGCACATCATCAAAATAAGGCACCATCCGAGGGATACCATGTAACAGCCGTTCCATTAAACTTTGGAACAATCCTGATGCCACGCTGACCCCGAATTGCAAGCAGCGGCATTTAAACGCAACCCTATGGGTGACAATAGTTTGGGCTTTGGCCGTGCTGTCTTCAACTGGTAGTTATTTGTACAGTTGTGTGAGATTGAGTTTGGCAAATGTTGTTCCCATTCCCAATGAAAGCAGTAGGTGTTTATTTATTTATTTATTTAATTTCTATACCGCCCTCCTCCCGAAGGATTTGGGGTGGTGTACAGCCAATTAAAACATAATATATATACATCAATTTAAAAACCAATTAAAAGTAATAAATAATTTTGGCTCAGAATTAAAACCTAATTAAAACACCCAATTTAAAATCATTCACAAAGATAGCCCAGCCTGGCAGAATAGTAGGGTTTTAAGAGCGCAGCGAAATACACGGAGATCAGAAATCGTACGTATTTCTGGGGGCAGTTCATTCCAAAGGGCAGGAGCACCCACAGAGAAGGGTCTCCCCCTGGGTGTCACCAGCTGACATAACTTGGCTGATGGCACTCTGAGGAGACCCTCTCTGTGGGAGCGAATTGGCCAGTGGGAGGCTACTGGCGGCAGAAGTCGGTCTCAGAGGTACCCCGGCCCTAAGCCATGGAGTGCTTTAAAGGTGGTAAACAACACCTTGAATCGCACCCGGACGACCACTGGGAGCCAGTGCAGCTTGCGCAGGAGAGGTGTTACATGGGCATAACGGGTCGCGCCCATAACTACCTGCACGGCTGCATTCTGGACTTGTTGGAGCCTCTGAGTGCTCTTCAAGGGGAGCCCCATGTAGAGAGCATTATAGTAGTCCAGCCAGGAGGTGACAAGGGCATGAGTGACCATGCGCAAGGCATCCTGATCCAGAAAGGATCGTAACTGGTGGATCAGGAGAACCTGATAAAATGCCCCCCTAGCCACGGCCATCATATGCTCTTCTAAAGACAGACGTGCATCCAGGAGGATGCCCAGATTGCGAGCCTTCTCTGTGTGGGGGGGGCAGATTTACCCCCAATAGTCAGCAATGTTGCCAGCCACAGCCACTCGGGGCACCGGGAGCCACAGCCACTTGGTCTTGGAGGGGTTGAGCTTGAGCCTATTTCTCCCCATCCAGACCCGCACAGCCACCAGGCAGTGGGACATCACATCAAGAGCATCTTTGGGGTGGTCTGGGGTGGAGATGTACAGCTTAGTGTCATCAGCGTACTGATGGACTCTCACCCCAAAACCATGGATGATCTCACCCAGCGGCTTCACATAAATGTTGAACAGAAGGGGCGAGAGGACCGACCCTTGCAGCACCCACAATTGAGGCATCTCGAGGTCGACCTCTGCCCCCCTGTCAACACAAACTGCGAGCGGTCAGAGAGGAAGGAGGAGAACCACTGTAGCAAGGTGCCTCCTATTCCCAACCCCCTCAACCGCTGCAGCATGATACTGTCGATGGTATCAAAAGCCGCTGAGAGATCTAATAGGACCAGGACAGAGGAGCAACCCCTGTCCCGAGCCCTCCAGAGATCATCCACCAATGCGACCAATGCCGTTTCCATGCTGTACCTCTGCCTGAAGTCCGACTGGTACGGATCCAAATAAGTAGCTTCATCCAGGTATCGGGGAAGCTGTCGTGCCACCACACTCTCAACAACCTTCGCCACAAAGCGAAGGTTGGAGACCGGATGATAATTAGCTAAGATAGCTGGGTCCAGGGATGGCTTCTTGAGGAGGGGCCTCACCACCGCCTCTTTCAAGGCGGCGGGAAAGGCACTCTCACTCAAAGAAGCATGTTGAATGATGGGAACAGGATAGGCGTTCTGCTGCAAGGCCTTGTTGATCGTGCACTTATAGTCTGCGCAGATGCGGACCAAGCAGTCAGCTTTTGAGAGCTGGTTTTTTTTTTTTTTTTTTTCTTCATTGGTATTGTGCTAGACTGGGTTTTTATAATCTCACTTTTCAAAGTTTCCCAAGCTTCTTGGGTTATTTTCCCCTTGAGGATTCTCATCCATGCGGTCCTTCACAAAGTCTCTCTAAATTTATTGAAATTAGCTCTCTTAAAGTCTAAGATTCTAGTTTGACTTTGTTCTATTGATTGTGCTTGCATAATGTTGAATTCTAATATTGCATTATCACCCCCCCACACACACACACCAAAGTTCCTGTAGCTTCAACAACTTCTATTATTTCATCTCTGTTAGTGAGAATTAAATCCAATATGGCTGATCCCCTAGTTCCCTTTTCTACTTTTTGGGCGACAAAGTTGTCTGCTAGGTTTGTCAGGAACCTGTTGGATCTTCCACTTGGTGCAGAGTTTGTCTCCCAGTTGACGTCAGGGTAGTTAAAATCCCCCATTAGTATTGTGATGTGCTTCCTACATACCTTAGTTAGCTGACTAGCAAAAAGTTCATCTATTTCCTCTATTTGGTTGGGTGGCTTAAATTATACACCTATGACAATGTCATTCCCCCTCCCCTTTTACATTGACCCAAATGCATTCCAGGCAGTTTTCATCATTGTTGTGCTCTATTTCTGTAGATATTTAGTTATTTCTTATATATAGTGCAACTCCTCCTCTTCTTTTATTTGGTCTATTTCTTTTAAATAACTTAAACCCCTTTAGCTGTGTATTCCATTTAGAATAGAATAACAGAGTTGTAAGGGACCTTGGAGGTCTTCTAATCCAACCCTTGCTTAGGCAGGAAAACCTACACCATTTCAGACAAATGGATATCCAACATAATCTTAAAAACTTCCAATGTTGGAGCATTCACAACTTCTGGAGGCAAGCTGTTCCACTGATTAATTGTTCTAACAGTCAGGAAATTTCTCCTTAGCTCTAAATTGTGCTCAAGTGCTTTGGAGAATAACTTGACTCCCCCTTTGTAGGTTTCAGCCAACCAATGAGAATAATATAATAATTCTCATAAAATTAAAATACTACTATTACATTATTATAATCAGTAACCATTCTATGTATAGAATAATATGAGAAATTCCACAAATGACCATTTGAGATAAGAAACTAAGTTTACTGCTTTTAAAATTCTATTCCATTCTAGTTCCATCCATTTCTAAAGAAGAAGGAATTGTACAATCTTTCCCTGTTTAAAGTGTACTTGGATCAAAATGGAGACATAGCAGCAGATCTGGATATCATTAGTAGGATAGTTCTCCCCAAGGAGGATCCCATCAACAAACATTTGGGGAGTTTTGAAAGACAGAGACTTATAATCAATCAAGATGCTTTGTCACAGCTAAAGTTGCTCAACAAGGTGTGGAAAAATATTAATGTATTTTCTCTTTTTTTCAAAAGCCTTAGAACCCATTTCAAGTGGACTCAACCTAGTCAAAAATGTAGATAACCTTCACTGACAATTGAACATAGAGTAATTTTTAAAACAATTTTCTTGTTTGTTTGTTTGTTTGTTTGTTTGTTTGTCATATTTCTATGCCACCCACTCTCCGAGGACTCTGGGCGGCTTACACCAAAGACAGTATATTAAATAGCATATTGCCCCCAACAATCTGGGTCCTCATTTTACCCATCTCGGAAGGATGGAAAGCTGAGTCAACCTTGAGCCGGTGAGATTTGATCTGCTGATCTGCTGAACTAGCAGTCAGCTGTAGTAGCTGCAGTACTGCACTCTAACCACTGCGCCACCTCGGCACCTTATCTTAGACAGATAAGGAGGCTTCAGTTCTATTGACCAAGTTATCTTTCAGATGCTATAATGCTGAATATTTTTGTAAGCTGATTCAGCTATAATTAAAATGAGGTAGCAAAGGTAAGCGGAACCCATATGCTGCATCAAAAGATGCATGACTCACCCATTTTCAGGGATATGTTCTCAGCTCCATCCAGTGGTGAAATCTAAAATTTGTTACTATCGGTTCTGTGGGCATGGCTTAGTAGGGGGGTAATGTGACTGGGTGGGCATGGCCAATTTTTTTTTAACTTTTAAAACCATTTTTTCTAGAACCTCTTCAGTGAAGAGGTTGTAAAAAAAATGCTTTCAAAAGGCTCTGACGATCCCAGCTGAGTTGCCTGATCGGCAGAGGTTTTTTTTAAAAGTTTCTGCCGATCAGGCAACTCGTCTTGGATCATCAGAGTATTTAAAAGAAAAAAAGGGTTTTTTTCTTTTAAATGCCTCTGACGATCCAAGCTGAGTTTTTTTAAAAGCCTCTGCCGATCAGGCAACTCAGCTTGGATCGCAGAGGCATTTAAAAGAAAAAAACCCCTTTTTTTTTTAAATGCCTCTGACGATCCAAGATGAGTTGCCTGATCGGCAGAGGCTTTTTTTTTTTTACTTTTAAAAGCATTTTTTTCCGCCGAAGAGGTTGTAGAAAAAATGCTTTTTAAAGTAAAAAAAAAGCCTCTGATGATTGTGCGACTCAGCTGGGCATGGGGGGGGGGCAGGGATTTTTGCTACCGGTTTTCCGAACCACCCGCCTCCATCGCTACCAGATCGAGTGATCCGGTCCGAACCGGGAGCATTTCACCTCTGGCTCCGTCTCACGTCACTATAGTTTGAGAAAGTAATCAGTCAGTTTTACTTTTAATTCACCAATATGGCAGTCAGATAAATTAAACAAATAAATATATAAATAGGATAGATAGAGATTTCAGAAATTTCTTTTTTCATTACAGTTTTATTGTCAATTCCGGAAACAACTTTAGCTGAAGTCATATTTTTTTTTTGCTTCGTTTCTTAGTTACCATACTTATGGGGGGGGGAGAGGGACTTATGGAATGTAGAACGTTTTCCTCCAATGTGCCAGACATAACAATGATAAAGCTCCTGAGAACCAAGGCCAAATCAGAATGCCGTAGCAATGACAGGAGGGATGCTGAGAAGTTCACCACCAGATGCAGGTCCTTCGACAGAGCCATGACGTCAGGCAGGTTGGGCACTTTGGATTCTTGAAAACCTTGCACCTGGCTACGAGGCAGTTTTGGTGGCCAGGGATGAAAAAGGACATTGAGAGGTATGTAAAGAGCTGTTCAACCTGTGCAACTCTGAAGAAGAGACCAGGGAAGCCCCCTCCCCCACTTTGGGTGTTACAGCATGTAGCCAACCTGTTCTGTCCCCGTCTCACACATGCACCCCCACAGACAGGCAACAGTTAAAGAACTCAGCCAACAACAGTTTATCTTGTATCAGAATTGGAAGCAACCCAGTGGCTGGCTGCCAGGTATTCTTTACTCACGAGGGGGGAGTTTCTCCCTTCATCCGGGAACAAAGCCAATACATAATAATCAACAAAGTCCAGTAAATACAAAGAAGGTCGTCCGATATCCGTTTTTTTGCTTGTCACAGAGCTGAACCGGCCACCACAGCCTCTTTTATACCCTGTGGGGTGTGGTCCAATGACTCAGCCTAATCCCTGGCATGCCTCTTCTTCTGTTGTGCGCGCTTATCTCTGCGACACTGCTGAGGATCCAGCCAAGACTCATCCTCCTCATTACTGTCCACCTGTGGCTGCATGGACGTGCTTGGCCCCGGGCCTATCTCTTGACCTTCGGCGGACACCGAAGACATTGCCAGAGAGGAGGGTCCTGGAGAGGGAGGCCTTGCCAACTCCTCTCCTTCACTCTCGGAGTCCTCTCCTGCCGATAACACAGGCTCAGGTAATGGAGCCACAACACAACCCCACACAACCCTGGGAAGAGATTGTGATGGACTTTATAGTTCAGCTGCTGCAAAGTGGAGGGAATACCATGATTTGGACAGTGATTGATTTATTTTCCAAGCAGGCTCACTTTATCGGCTATCCTGGATTACCATTTGCCCACAAACTGGCAAAGTTGTCCTTGAGGCATATCTACCAATTGCATGGGGTCCCATGCAGAATTATTTCAGATCGTGTGTGTGTGTGTGGCCAATTCATGGATACGTTCTGGAGGGAGTTGTTAAAATCCATTGGGTCCTCCCACGGCTTAGTTTGGCTTTTCATCTAAGTACAAATGGGGCAGTGGAGAGAGCTAACACCATGGTGGAGCAGTACTTAAGGTGCTATGTCAAATTCCATTGACATCCTTCAGTCTCAAATGACTATGGTATCATGCTCTGGAAAGAGGTCCTAAAACAGCATCTAGTGTGACTAAAAAGGCCAATTTGAGAGTGGCAATCCCTTCCACACTGAGGGCAGATACATTCTGTCCCCTGCCCAGCCCCCAGATTTTGCTGGTTCCGGGACTGCCTCTTTGCCTCAGCCTGCCGAACAAGTGTCTCTTTGAATTGGAGAAGGCCATGCTGCGTCTTTAGCCTCCAAGCTGAACGATCAGAGGTCAAGGTTTCCCCGTTGTTAATGTCCATTCCCAGGGCCTTTAGGTCCCTCTTGCAGATATCCTTATATCGCAGCTGCGATCTCCCTCTGAGGTGCTTTCCCTGCACTAATTCTCCATACAGGAGATCAAATATGTCATCAAATTAGATCAAATTAGTCTGCTGGTATGTCAAATACCCGCAGACTAATTGGGCAGAAATACTGCCTTTTGCTGAAGTGGCATACAATAATGCAGTGCACAGTAGTATGGGGCTTACTCCCTTCAAGGTGGTCAACAGGGTAGACTTTGTCCCCATGCCAGAATTCCCCCAGGAGTCTCCCTCTTCTATTAGTCTAACAGAGTGGGTTGACTCGTTACAGAACACATGGAGGAATGGAAGGCGAGCACTGACAAAAGCAACAAAAGCCTACAAAGAGCAGGCTGATAAGAAACAAGCCCAGCAGAGACCTTTACTGTGGATTTAAGACTCTCCCGCCTTGTGGGGAAGGTGCACCCGGCGTTCCACAGTAGCTTGTTAAAACTGGTAGTTGGCTCTACATTGAGACCATGGCACCAAAGCCCATAGTGGTGGAAGGGGAGACCCATTATGAAGTAAAGTAGATTTTAGATTCAAGGCTTTACAAGGGGAAGTTGCAATGTTTAGTGCAATGGAAAGGATATCTTTATCAAAGGCCACCTGGATTAAGAGCACCAACATGAGAGCAGATAGGCTAGTAAAGAAATTCCATGAAAAGAACCCTCAAAACCCAAAGCACCAATAGATGAGGGTGGGAATGACTGAAAAGGGGTGGATTCCTGTTTGTGATTTATATCTTACAGATGCTCTTTTCCATGTAAGGGGAGATGAAATGACTCTAGCTGAAGCCACACTTTTCTTGCGTCATTTCTTAGTTGCCATATTTATGTGTACAGGAGTGGGATTTATGGAATGTAGAATACTTTCCTCCAGTGTGCCAGACATAACAACGATAAGGCTCTTGAGAAACAAGGCCAAATCAGTATGGTCTAGCAATGGCAGGAGGGAGTGATGAGAAGTTCATCACCGGCTTTATTGGCTAACGTGACCTGTGACACAAGGAGTATCTATTCTTTAATTATACAAAAAATGTGGGAATTATTCAGTGTTGGTTTCACATTTGACCGTGCTGATATAATGTACTGAATAAACAGGATTTTTGAGGAAGGCCTCAGAGTCTAGATGTCAGCGTTCCAAACTATGATTTCCCCAGCGCTGACATGAATGAGTGGGAAAGAGCCTGTTAGAAGTAGTAGCTTGACTTTTCACCCAGTTCTTTCCCCCCGGCAGATAACGTCACCTAGGTGATGAGAGGAGGGGGGAATTCCTGTGACTTGAAGTAACTGAAATGAAAGATGGACTTGGAAGATGGCCAATGAGACACTGAGATTTGAGGAACGGAAAGGGAGGGGTTTGGGTTCGGAGGATCAGTTTCGGCTGCAAATGAGTTCAGGACTAGATCGTTATTCTTCAATAAATAAGAGATTTCATCAAAGACTTTGTGTTTGAGAATGAAATTTATTTGAGATAACATTGGAACCTGACACTAGAATAGGTTGGGAGCATTACTCAGAACCATGATATTTATTCTAATAAATGTAATGGAATAAAAAATTAATAAATTTTTTACAGTAAAGTTTACTTTAAAATTTAGTATGAGTGGCAATCTAAGTGTTGGAGATACGATTGTGATGATGCTACCTCTTATTATATATGGTGGACTTGTAAAAAAGTTAAAGCATTTTGGATTAAAATATGGTGGATTATCCAAAATATTCTTAAAAAGAAGATAAGGTTTACTCCATAGTTGTTTTTGTTGGGTATAATTACAGATTGTACAGTTATAGAGACTAAATTGATCTGAAATTTAATAACTGCAGCTAGACTTTTGGTGGCATAATATTGGAAGAAGAAGATCTGCCTACTATTGAAGAATGGACATTAAAAGTAGCGAATTTAGCAGAAATGGCAAAAATTTCAGCATATTTGAAAGATCATTCACAAGAAAGATATATATCGGAATGGAGAAGATGGATTGATTATATTCAAAACAAATATCGGACTAAAAAGTATCAAATAGCTTATGAATGAATAGAAAAATTAAGAGTATTCATATTTAGTGAAGTAAAAGGGGAGTTAAAGTGTCAAGGGGCGGATAGGAGTCCATAGATAGTTAGCTCAGTTTAGTATATGATTGTTAATTGTTATACCCTGTATTTTGTTCGGGGAAGTTCGGGGGGGAGATGGGGGGGGTAAGGAAGGGAGGGGGTATGGGGAAATATTTGCAATTTTTTTTGTAAAACTCTTTAATAAAAGAAAAATAGTATGAGTGGATATCTTATTGTAAAATCATGCCTGTCTGAAAAATAGAGGAATGCATGTTAATTCCAGTATGAGGAGGAACCCACCAATTGTCACTTGATGCTTAAATCTTCTCTCAATGTCATCTCTCCAGACTTTATTATGTAGAAAGGTACTTTTGTTTGCAATCTGATATGCCTCAAGAAAAAAGGAGGAGCTAAATGAGGCATCTGCCTGCAATTGTATCTCCTTTAACCATTTGGAAGTGGTCAGAGATTTCATATTTGCCTACGTGAAGGGCAGAGACTACTTGGCTAATGTTCATATCAACCTCCATCTTATATGGATGATGAGTCTCAGCATATTTTCTTTGGCATTTCTTCTTTTTCTTCTCAGTCTCTTCCTCAGTCCAAATGTGTGGAAAAATGTCAGCCTGGATTTGTCAAGAAGGCTCGAGAAGGAGAGCCAGTTTGCTGCTATGACTGCGTTCCTTGTCCAGAGGGGACCATCTCCACTCAGGAAGGTAGGTGACACCATAAGGAAACCTACTGAATTCATCCAGAGCACTTTGATCAATATACTTCTTAAAGAGACATATAGGCTTGATGGTTTTGTTTTTAATTCTCGTGGTGTCCAGTTTTTTCCCTAATGGGAGGGGAAAGAAAAAGATCTTGAAGGATGAGGTAGGAAGAAGGATGTTGTGGTTGGGTAGGAAATCTCTCTTTTATTTGTAAGTTTGGATGTGTCCTTCCATATTTATCTTCTTTAGGAACATCTGAATTTTTGTAACTTGAGGAATGATTTTAGATCAATGTGCTTTGCTCACCCAAAACAACTGTACATTACAGGCCAAAAGATACATCAATCAGTCCTTCAATTAATCAGTCAATGTTTATAAAGATCACAAATCATCATAAATTGAAATATCTAACTGAGAGGAACAATGGAGGGAGAGAAGTTGGGTTGAAGGAGGAAATGAAAACCAAGCAGAGGACTCGCCATAAAAACATCAAGTGGATATTTACTTCCTACCTTTTCTTATCTTTCCAATTTTCTTTGTTGTTAATAATGAGATACAAACAGTTATAACACCAACAAAAAAAAGGAATGTAGTTGTGGTTCTGAAAGGGAAAAAAGAGACTACAGTAATATACAGTGTTGGGATTAAAAGGAACAAAAAGGAGAGAGACAAAGAACTAATAGAGGACCAATCTACTAAATATCGGTTGCTACCAATGTTGAATTTAAAATTGTTTAAATTTTTAAAATTTTAACTCTCTTTAAAATTGTTGCCAAATCTAGAGAATATGGAAATATATTGCTTCATCTTCTCATGTTTACAGAGTAAAAAGACTTTGCAGACAACAGGCTAAGTTCCTCTTCTTGAATTCCTTCATGAATTAATCTTCCTTAAGATCTCTTTTTTTAAAATATATATATATATATATATATATATATATATATATATATATATATATATATATATATATATATATATATATATATATATATATGCATATTCTTATAAAAGCCTACGAAAAAGAAAAAGACATATATATATGAATATATATATGAATCTCATATATATATATATATATATATATATATATATATATATATATATAGGGTTTATGTGTGTTTTTCTTCTAGCCAGGTTTTCCCTACGTAGCCAAGGTTTTTTTTTGTAGCTCCAGCTCAGTAGGGAAAACCTGGCTAGAAGAAAAACACACATAAACCCTACGAAGAAGTAAGAAAATTGATACTGTGCCTTTACAGGGAGGATATGGGTGTGGCCTACTGATGACAGCTAACGAGCTAGAAATGGATCTATTTAGGTCTCCCACCTAGCAGTGAGAGCTTGCTAGGTGTTAGAAAAGAAAAAAGCCCAGAACCGAGTAGATGAGATTCTACTGAGCTGGAGCTACAAAAAAACCTTGGCTACGTAGGGAAAACCTGGCTAGAAGAAAAACACACATAAACCCTACGAAGAAGTAAGAATATATATATATATATATATATATATATATATATATATATATATATATATATATATATATATATGCATATATATATATATATATATATATATATATATATGCATATATATATATATATATATATATATATTATATATATATATATATATATATATATATATATATATATATATATATATATATATATATATATATATATATATATATATATATATATATATATATATATATATATATATATATATATATATATATATATATATATATATATATATATATATATATATATATATATATATATATATATATATATATATATATATATATGCATATTCTTTCTAGCCAGGTTTTACCTATGTAAACTTAGTTGTTCTTCAGCCCTAGGTTCTGTGAAATCTCATTCACAAGTTCTTGGGCCCTTTTTCTGCTGACAAACTGCAACTCTGTGTTGCTTCCTGGGAGACCCAGATAGCTATTTCTACCTCTTAAGGCGTCCTCAGTGGGCCACACCCACTTCCCAATTATCCTCCCTGTAAAGGCATAATGTATCTTTTTTCTTTTTTCATAGGCTTTTATGTGCATATTCTTTCTAGCCAGGTTTTACCTATGTAAACTTAGTTGTTCTTCAGCCCTAGGTTCTGTGAAATCTCATTCACAAGTTCTTGGGCCCTTTTTCTGCTGACAAACTGCAACTCTGTGTTGCTTCCTGGGAGACCCAGATAGCTATTTCTACCTCTTAAGGCGTCCTCAGTGGGCCACACCCACTTCCCAATTATCCTCCCTGTAAAGGCATAATGTATCTTTTTTCTTTTTTCATAGGCTTTTATGTGCATATTCTTTCTAGCCAGGTTTTACCTATGTAAACTTAGTTGTTCTTCAGCCCTAGGTTCTGTGAAATCTCATTCACAAGTTCTTGGGCCCTTTTTCTGCTGACAAACTGCAACTCTGTGTTGCTTCCTGGGAGACCCAGATAGCTATTTCTACCTCTTAAGGCGTCCTCAGTGGGCCACACCCACTTCCCAATTATCCTCCCTGTAAAGGCATAATGTATCTTTTTTTTCTTTTTTCATAGGCTTTTATGTGCATATTCTTTTTGAGTAGTTTGGAGAACCTGCAAATACCACCTCTGGCTGGCCCCAGAGTGGGGTGGAAATGGAGATTTTGCAATATCCTTCCCCTGGAGTGGGGTGGGAATGGAGATTTTGCAGTATCCTTCCCCTGCCATGCCCACCAAGTCACATCCACAGAACTGGTAGGAAATTTTTTTAAATTGCAACCCTTATCAAGTGGTTCTCCATGGATCCAACCATGTTAGACAACTTTGATCCTGTATTTTTCTCCGGTATTTTTGGAGCAGTTTATTGAGAGCATGGTTGGTGGGTCAATCGTCAGTGACTGAGTTTAAACATTTTTGGGATAATCATATGTCCATCATCTGAATTTATTTTTTTTTAAATGAAATAAATTATTAAATAAGTAAGAAAACAAAAAACTCAAAGGACAGATTATGTCTTTTTGTGCTGCAAGTTTTCTGTTTCTATCTTTTTATCCCATACTCATAGGGTTGCTCTTGAAAACCACCTGTAATTAACAAATGGTCCAGAATGCAAATGCACAATGTTGTGTTTCCGGGTATTATTCCATAGGACACCCCTATTATGCAGGCTCCCCAGAATCCCAGTTTCTTTCCAAGTGCAATTAAATTCACCTTTAAAACCCTACATGAGATGGAACTGGCGTATCTGCAGGGCTTCCCTTGTCCCAACAGAGCAGACATAATTGGCATGCAAAAGGTCTGTTCCCTAAAAGATTCCCACTTTATAGGTCCTCAGATGACTGCTTTTTCTGGTGCAGATCCTGCCTCATTGGGCCCACTCCCTCTTGAAATTCAATAGGCCCCCACCTTCTTAAACTTCTGGAGACTTGCTACATCTCCCAAACTTTTGGGATAAGGTAAGGTGAGTGCAGGATAAGAATCTGGTGCATTACCTTGGAGAGGTTGTGGCACCAGATATTTCTTTTAATTTAATTTAATTTTGTTTTTGGTCTTATTCTTGTTCTTATAGTTGTATGTATTGGGGATTTTTTTTTTTTGTTGGAGTGTAAGTATATTCCATTTGCTGAGACTTTACTGTCTCTCAGTATCAAATCTCATCCAAAATTTTATTTGAAATTTGAATAAAAGAAATATTACTTTGTTTTCTCAGATACTGAAAAATGCACCAAGTGCCCAGATGATCAATATCCAATCAAGAACCGAGTCCAATGTATCCCCAAAAGAATAACTTTCCTCTCCTACAAAGAATATCTCAGCATCCTCCTCATCTCCATGGCCTTACTGTTGTTTCTAACCACAGGCCTTGTTTTAATCATATTCCTTAAATACCTAGAAACTCCCATAGTCAAAGCCAACAACCGGGACCTCTCCTTCATCCTCCTGGTCTCCCTCCTCCTTTGTTTTTTGTCCTCTTTTCTCTTCATTGGCCAACCAAGGAAAGCTACCTGTCTTCTCCGACAAACAATGTTCAGCATTGTCTTCTCAATAGCTGTGTCTTCTGTGTTGGCTAAAACTATCATGGTGGTGCTGGCTTTCCTGGCCTCAAAACCAGGAAACAGGGTGAGAAGATGGTTGGGGAAAAGCTTGGCCAACTCCATCATCCTTTCTGGTTCTGGTGTCCAAATTCTCATCTGTGCCATGTGGTTGGGAGTTTCTCCACCATTTCCTGACTCTGATCTGCACTCCCAGCCTGGAGTGATCATCCTGCAATGCAACGAAGGCTCTGTCATCATGTTTTATGTTGTCCTTGGCTACATGGGCTTCCTGGCTGCCATCTGCTTCACTGTGGCTTTTCTGGCCAGAAACCTGCCTGGGGCCTTCAATGAAACCAAGCTGATCACCTTCAGCATGCTGGTCTTCTGCAGTGTCTGGGTCTCCTTCCTGCCCACCTACCTGAGCACTAAAGGAAAATCCATGGTTGCCGTGCAGATCTTCTCCATCTTGGCCTCCAGTGCTGGACTATTAGGCTGCATCTTTGTCCCCAAGTGCTACATTATCATCCTGAGACCAGATCTAAACACGAAGGAACATCTAATGACAAAAGCAGTGAAATGACTATGAAATTCTTAGCCTCATAACTTTTAGTTATCCATTATTATTGGGCTGATATGCTTACTTTGCATTTGTTTGACAATTTATATTTATTAAAACTGAAGGAAATAAATATGAAGGAGGATCTCCTAATCCATGTAGGAGAATCTGCCAAAGGTTGAAACCATGTAAACTGCATGAAATGTGGAATGACATTCAGTCATGGTGGTGATCCTTTCAGATAAAGAAGCTATGCAGAGGAATACAGAATCTATCCAGAGATTAGGAAGAATTGGAATATTAGTCAGCATACAGGAAGGGGATATGGCAGATAATACCAAGATATGGATGAAAGGGGAAAGGGGAAAGGTCCAAGCATGCCTATCTCCCTGGTGCATAGCAAGATATCCCAATACCCAATATCTCCAACTTACATCTGTGGATATGTGGAAAGTCCTTCCATTTAAATTTAACTGATTTGAGTTTTAATGGAGATAAATTGTGGAGTGAATTCTTTGCATTAAAGTCTCTCGGGGAATAACTCTTTAAATCAAAACTGTGAAAAATTCTAAAGGTCAAGGAGGTAATATATGCCTGAGATGTTTGCTGATTGACTGATTAGGTGCCTTATCCACCAGCAACTAAATATATAGACTTTCTTCAGTGTCATCTGTCCTTATTGTAACCATTTTGTTCCCTCAGGAGGGTATTCATGCTTCTTATAAATGAATTTATTTCTGGATCGGGACTCCCTACACACAGTCACTCATGCCCTCGTCACCTCCCGCCTGGACTATTGTAACACTCTCTACATGGGGCTCCCCTTGAGGAGCACCCGGAGGCTCCAACTGGTGCAGAGTGCGGCTGCGCGGGTGGTTATGGGAGCAACATGGCGCTCCCATGTGACACCTCTCCTGCGTGAGCTGCACTGGCTCCCGGTGGTCTTCTGGGTGCGCTTCAAGGTTTTGGTTACCACCTTTAGAGCACTCCATGGCTTAGGACCTGGCTACTTACGGGACCGCCTACTACCACAAACAGCCTCCCTCCGGCCGGTATGCTCTCATAGAGAGGGGCTCCTCCAGGTGCCGTCAGCCAAACAATGTCGACTGGTGGCCCCTAGGGGGAGGGCCTTCTCTGTGGGGGCACCTCCTCTCTGGAACGAGCTCCCCCCGGAGATACGGAGGATCCCGGATCTGCACACCTTCCGCCGTGCTTTGAAGACACTCCTATTCCAGCAGGCCGGCCTGGCCTAATTTTCTCCCCTTCTTTTAAATTTTTAAATTGAAATTTTAATTTGTTTTAAATTATTGGGAATTTTAATTGTCTTGGGCCAAATTATTTAATTTGGTTTTAATTATGTTTTTTAACTTTTGTATTTATGTGTTTTATTTTGTGCCTGTTCACCGCCCTGAGTCCTTCGGGAGTAGGGTGGTATACAAATTTAATAAAATGAGAAATGAGAAAATGAGAAATGATTTATTTTGGCAGTGGTCATCCTCTTCTTCTCTTTCCTTCAACCTCTTCCATAATTATCGACTTCCCCAGGAAGCTGGGCCTTCACAGAATGTGTCCAAATAGGATAGTTTGAGCATCTCAGATTTTATTTATTCTAACATGGTGATTAGAAGTTTCTGAACCATTTGGAATATTCAATGTTTCTACACAAATGTAGCCTAAAACATGATCGGTTCTCCAGACAAATCCCAAAATTAGATGAAGAGAACCCAATTAGGCAATAAGTTGAAAACATTATGAGTCAAAAATAAGTCAAAAACATATGTATTTGATAAAATACGTATTTATTTATGTATTGAGGGAAATGTTCCAAAGCTACAAATTTGTATGTGGGAAAAGTAGACAAACCTTCAATAATTTCTTCATTAATTTCTTCACTTAATTTCTTCAATAATTACTGTTTCTCCATAGGCAGCAATAAATTCAACTAAATATGACTGATAACTGTTGACCAATCCCACACATCATCTTGGAGAAATTTTAGATCATTCCTCCCCTAGCAAAATAGCTGGCTACTCTTTATCTGGTTTTAGAATTCAGGTGAGAACAGATCACATTTTAAACTATATTTAAATGTGGATCTCGACAGTTAATGGAGGCAGTTTTTGCTATTCAATCAAGCAGAGAACTTCACCAAGCTGGCAGAAGGATCTTGACAGACTTTTTTTTTTTTTTTAATTTGATTTATATGCCGCCCTTCTCTGGAGACTCAGGGCGGCTTACAATGCGTTAAGCAATAGACTTGAACATTGGGTGCTATCTAACAAAATGAAATTCAACAGCGGAAAAATGCAAGGTTCTACATTTAGGGAAGAAAAACAAAATGCACAGGTACCTTGCTCAATAGTAGTAACTGTGAGAGGGATCTTGGAGTCCTAGTGGACAACCATTTAGATATGAGCCAGCAGTGTGCAGCAGCTGCCAAAAAAGCCAACACAGTTCTGGGCTGCATAAACAGAGGGATAGAATCAAGATCATGTGAAGTGTTAATACCGCCTTATAATGCCTTGGTAAGGCCACACTTGTAATACTGCATCCAGTTTTGGTCGCCACGATGTAAAAAAGATGTTGAGACTCTAGAAAGAGTGCAGAGAAGAGCAACAAAGATGATTAGGGTACTGGAGGCTAAAACATATGAAGAACGGTTGCAGGAACTGGGTATGTCTAGTTTAATGAAGAGAAGGACTAGGGGAGACATGATAGCAGTGTTCCAATATCTCAGGGGTTGCCACAAAGAAGAGGGAGTCAAACTATTCTTCAAAGCACCTGAGGGTAGAACAAGAAGCAATGGGTGGAAACTAATCAAGGAGAGAAGCAATTTAGAACTAAGAAGAAATTTCCTGACAGTTAGAACAATTAATAAGTGGAACAACTTGCCTGCAGAAGGTGTGAATGCTCCAACAGTGCAAAATTTTAAGAAGATGTTGTATAACCATTTGTCTGAAGTGGTGTAGGGTTTCCTGCCTGGGCAGGGGTTTGGACTTAGAAGACCTCCAAGGTCCCTTCCAACTCTATTCTATTCTATTCTATTCTATTCTATTCTATTCTATTCTATTCTATTCTATTCTATTCTATTCTATTCTATTCTATTCTATTCATTCAAAAATATTGAACATTCAAATGGGTTCCATGGAAAAATCAATTTTCAGCTGAATGGGACTGTTTAACAGACAAATTGAGACATATGGAATGTGGCCTTGCAGCTTACAGGACCCATGGTAAAAGGTTTGATGAAAATGTTTCTTCTGCTATAGACAAAATACACAAAACTCACACATAGCAGAATCAATGGTGAATGTGGAAAAGGCCAGCAGCTGCGCTCACCACAGATTGAAATTCAGCTTTTTAAACGGACATATATACAGATAACCTTTTTCTTGAAACTCAAGAAGTTCATGTTCTCAACCTGAAACTTTGTTTTATGCAGATGCACAAACAAATCTAAACAGACAATACTCACAAAATGAAAATACTGGTGTCAGAACTTTGATGGTGTAAAAAACACCCCCCTCCTTATGCTATAGAGACACAGGAATTCTTCCTCCAGAGTTTTTATGTTGCTACAGTATGTTTAAAAGTTGTAAGCCATGCAGACTTACCTCCATGTGAATTGAGTGTCCATAGAAATTTATTTATTAAATCAATATATAAACATGGATACTTTTCTAAAAGAAAGGGGAAATGATGCAAAAAAGGGGAGAAAATGATTCATCTATTCAGATTCATAAATGATAGCATAATAAATCTAAGGTTACTTCTTATTTTATTTATTTATTTTATTTATTTATTTTTCAAATTTGTATACCTCCCTATGTCAGCGCCTCAGCGCTGGCATAGAGAGGAGAGATAAGCTCTGAACTTTTGCCTGCTAAATCCCTTTGAAGCTCGGTCGTCTTGGAAATGAGGAGGGGGGAGACATTCCTGTGAAATGACGAGACAAGAAGTCAGGAGAAGGACTTGGAAGATAGCCAATGAGAAGCAGAGAATTGGGGATCAGAAAGGGAGGGATTGGGGGGCAAAAGGTCAGTCTTGTCCGCATCGAGTCATGATCCGGTTGCTGTGCTCGAATAAAGAAAAGATTTCCTTAAAGATTGGCAGTTTGGAAATTCATTTATTTTGAGATAGCATCGAAGTCTGACACCCTACTCCCAAAGGACTCAGGGCGGTGAACAGCCAAACAGTAAAATACATAAATAAAGAAACAAACAAACATTAAATCTTTTAATCTAACTCTCTAAATAACATTTTTGAAAAATAATATATTTGTAAGTCATTTTTCTATTTTATTTTGACATCAAACATTCTTTGGTATTCAGATCTGGCCTAAAAATAATAATGTAGCATTTAGGGAAGAATATGCAGCTCAGCAGTCCAGCATTGGAGGCCAAGATGGAGAAGACCTGAACAGCCACCGTGTACTTCCCTTTGGTGCTCAGGTAGGCAGGCACAAAGGACACCCAGACACTGCAGAAGACCAGCATGCTGAAGGAGATCAGCTTGGCTTCGTTGAAGGCCCCAGGGAGATTCCTGGCCAGAAAAGCCACCATGAAGCAGACAGCAGACAGGAAGCCCATGTACCCAAGGGCAACATAAAACATGGCGACAGAACCTTCATGGCATTGTAGGATGATTTCTCTAAGTTGGGAGTTCATGTCAGAGTCAGGGAATGGGGGAAAAGTGCCCAACCAGATGCTGCAAATGACAACTTGAAGGCCAGAACAAGAAAAGACAATGGAGTTGGCCAAGCTCTTCCCCAACCATCTCTGCACTTTATTCCCTGGTTTTGTGGCCAAGAAGGCTAACACCACTGTGATGGTTTTGGCCAAAATTGAAGAAATGGCAATTGAAAAGATAATGCTGAAGGCTGTTTGTCTGAGGAGACAGGTCATTTTCCTTGGCTGGCCAATGAACAGGAAGGAGGTCAAGATGGAAAGCAGGAGGGAGACCAGGAGGATGTAGGAGAGGTCCCGGTTGTTGGCTTTGACAATTGGTGTTTCCATGAATTTAAT